CATAAAAAGCCAGGCATAATCACTTCCTCCTGGAACTCCAGCTCTGGGCATGGAAAGGAGGATCACTATGGCTTGCTGGCCAGCTAGCCTAGGCAAAAAGTAGGGAGTTCCAGAATCAGTAAGAAACCCGGTCTAGCTGGTAGGTGGTGGCACACTACCTTTAATACCAGTACTCAGGAAGTAGAGGCAGATAGATCTCTGTGAGTGCAAGGCCAGCCTGGTCTACAGAGAGAGTTCCAGAACAGTCAAGACCACACTGAGAAACCCTGAACTAGGGAATTAAGATGAAAAGCAACAGAAGAAACCCAACAACCTCTGTGTGCTTATGCACAGACACTTGCACACACTCATGCACACACATGCACACAACCACACACAGCAAGTAGCAGCAGAAGACACTGCAAAACTATCTTTATATGCTCGGACTTCATTCACAAGCTTTCTCAACATGGAAAGCCTTTGGCTCGGTTTGCTTTCCAACTGGAATATATACTTTTCCACGGTGTCACTGTTGGACAACATCTAAAGTAAGATCTTACACACACACACACACACACACACACACACACTGTGAAGGCTAAAGGGTAGGAAAAAGTCAAAATGAACAACAACCATGACAGACTGACTCAGATTTTGCCACAGTTCTCAGAAAAAAGTTTGGGGTAATCATTGTAAAGATAGATATGCAAAGAGACACCCCTCCCCTAGACTAGTTTCCCAGGAAATACGATGGCAAAGGAGTCACGGATGCCCTGGCATAGTGACCCAGATGCCAACAGATTGATGCCCCAGAGACTTCTCCAAGACCTGTCTCTCCCTCCACAGGCCTTCTGGGGATGGTGGCCCACATGACGTATTCACAAGTCTTCCAGGCAACTGCCACTTTAGGTCCAGAGGACTGGAGACCGCACTCTTGGAATTATGGCTGGGCATTCTAGTGAGTACTCTCATCCCCCGAGCTTTCGCAGCCCAACTCCACAACCGTGCACGGGATTTTGCACCTTCAGCTGGACGTACTTCCTTCCCTTGTCCTCCTCTTCCTCCATCAGCCCAAGGCAGGGCTGAAGCAGGGGGATATCTTCTCCCTCCCTGCCTTCAGAGGGTGCACACAACATTCTTCTCACTTGCTCTGAGGATGCAACCTGGTCCCCTGTTCAGCAGCTATAATTAGTTGCTTCTTTGGCCTACATACAGTCCTTGAAGGCAAGGCTGGTTTTATATGGATTGTAGGAACTGCTATATGCTCTGTATTTTATGATTCAGGGTTTGAGAGAAATGGACAATAATTATAATCATGAAATTAGGATTGCATTCCACCTGGTCTACTATTGATGGTCCTCAGTTGAAATCTCTTCCATCCCTTACATATTTCCTTATCCCAAGAGTAACCACTTCCTAACTCCAGATCTCCAGTCAGCTCCACGCTGTACAGCACTGGCTGTCATCACATCCGTGAGGACAGTGCTACAGCTCAAAACGTGGGCACACGAAGGGCGTCACCACTGCTTGCTTCCGCATCCTAACCTTAAAAACTAAGGACTCAAGCATTTTCATTGTCCTTGGGTATAGACAAGGGCTGCTTGTTCATTTTCTGGCCGCCCAGACCCAAAATAATTACACAGAAACTATATTAATTACAACACTGCTTGGCCTCAATAGCTTGGGCTTCTTATGAACTCTGACATCTTAAATTAACCCATTTTTATTATTTTGGGTATCGCCACAAGGCTGTGGCTTACTGGGTAAAGTTTTGGCGTCTTTCTCCTTCAGCAGCTACATGGCATCTCCCTGACTCTGCCTTCTTTCCTCCTCTATCTCTGCTTGGAATTCCCGCCAAGGCTGACCATGAACTCCTGATTCTTACTTCTCAAGTGCTAGCATTACAGGCGCACCACCTTCGGCACGTTCAGGGGGACACTACCTTTGTTTATATCTCAAGTATTCTTTCCTTGGAGCCCCCCCCACCTTCACAAGTTCTCATTACTTGTTTTTGTTTTTAATTCTTCTCCTCTCTCCCTGGAGGAACATTCTCCACTCACTGCAAAGCTAACAAACCAGATTCACTGTCTCAGATAAGTGCGCAAGGCATTAATGGCCCCCAAACGCACTATGCTTGCTGGGCTTAGGTTTCCTTCCTAATGCAGGTATAGTGGAGGGCTTTTTCACACCCGGTCCTACCAGTTTCCTCACACTGCAGTACACGCTTGCCATCCAGGACTCTAATTCATCCCCCAGCCCTGTGTTTTGCTGGTTTCCCCAACCAATCAGACCTCCCTTTTTACCCACTTTGAATCCTTCCTGCCATTAACATGGTAAGGCTGGGTTGATGAGATGGATCAGTGGGTAAAGTAACTGCCGTATAATCATAAGAACCTGAGTTTACATTCCTGGGGCCCACTTAGAACCCTCACACAGTAGTGCCTGTGTCTATGATCCAGCAGTATGGAAAGATGGGAGGCAGAGACACAGAATTCCCAAAAGCTCATTGGCCAGTGAGCCTGTGTCCTCAGAGTCAACAACAACAAAAGAGAGGTAACTGCCTCAAACAAGGTGCAAGTTAAGGTGGACCCAAGAAGGCACAGACACACACAGAGACACACACAGATAGACACATATACACAGATAGACACAGAGACAAGACATACAGATAGACACACACACACAGACACACAGATAGACGCAGACACACACACAAACAGAAGACTTTGGGGCTCGACTAATGAGCAACCAGAATGACCATGGCAACAAACAGGAACCTGCAGGACATCCCTCTCACCAGCCTTCGGCCTCCAAGCAGCCCCTTCTACCCTCATAAACCCTAGCACAGGGCTGTTTAGGGGTTGGCTTCCTGGGTCTTTAGGAATGTATTTGATGTCATTCCCTGGGGTGCTTTTTCCTTTCCCAGATCCACCCAGCTTCCACTGAAAACTACCCCATGCCAAGAACCACAGTTTTCATAATAATCAAATTCCACTAGGGCAAAGTACAACGCCTTCAGGTCTGTAGTAACAAATGGAGTCATTCATGAATAACTCTCCCAAGGCTCAACTTTGGGGACAATTAAGTTCCAAAGAGCATTGGGCAGAAGAGAGATGATGGCTCCAGGGTCAGGGCACAGTACATGAAGGGAAGAAAGAAGGGGTGGGGTGCATCAGATCTTGTCCGTGGAAGAGAGCTAGAGGTCTGTGGGCTCACGGGGGTAGACACCACACAGACAGAGCCCAGTCTGTGGGATCTAGATTGTACAGGGGTTCACAGGGGTAGACACCACACAGATAGAGCCCAGTCTGTGGGATCTAGATTGTACAGAGGTTCACAGGGGTAGACACCACACAGACAGAGCCCAGTCTGTGGGATCTAGATTGTCCAGGGGTTCACAGGGGTAGACACCACACAGACAGAGTCTAGTCTGTGGGATCTAGATTGTCCAGGGGTTCAAGGGGGTAGACACCACACAGACAGAGCCCAGTCTGTGGCAGAACAGACGGCACTTTGCTTTCCATAAAGCCCGACTCTTACCGTCCCTTCTGCGTTTGCCCCTAGCACGGCCTGGGTTTCCTTCACCTGCTGCATGGCGTCAGCTGTCACCACCTTCAACGCCTACACAAGGATGATGCTGGAGTTCCAGTGCAGGCACAGGAAGAGCTTCAAGCGCAGCCCCAGCTGTCTCATAGGCCACCACCGCTGCTTCCTCCCCCAGCTGACTTGTGCAGCCCACCCAGGGGAACCTCTGACCACCTGCCTTCAGTATCCCAACCATCCCATCCGCTCTGTCTCCGAAGGTATCGACCTCTACTCGGCGCTACAGGATAAGGAATTTCAACAAGAGGCCAGCCAGGAGCTGAAAGAAGTGGCTGGGTCATCATCCCTAGAAGAGCAGTGTTAGATGTTAAGCGGGTTTGGGGAGCAGGCTAAACCCGACCATCTGTGTTTGCTTCTTAGCAACATCCGCTTAAGCAAAAGTGTCTCCTGAGCCTTGTGTTTAGAAGCTAAGAATGAGAGACGTCTCCAGGACCTTGCCTTGCCCCTCCCTTGACGCCGCTTTGCTCTATCCATCTCCCACGCATGGATCAGAATCCCCGTCCCTTCCTGACTGCTCAGGGCTGACTCCAGACTACACAGTGCAGATAAAAAGGCAAGTGCAATCAGTTCCTACCTTTAAGGGTCTGGTAGAGCCTGGTCAGCAGTCTGGAAGAAACACGGGTGAACAAACTGATGGTGGCTCGTCTACGTGCCCTGGGACTTTTCTGGAGGTCACACACAGGAAGACAGAAACACAACTGAAGGCATCTTGCATACTTCCGTATCTTCCACACTAGTGTCTCGAAACCTCATAATAGCCGGTGAGGGAGCTGCTTTCTCTTCCAAAGGTCCTGGGCTCAACTTCCGGTGCCTGATAGGCATGGTGGCTAACAACTGTAAGGCCAGTTCCAGAAGGTCTCACGCCCTCTCCCAGCCCCCACAGACACTGCACACACATGGCGCACAGACATACAGGCAGGCAATCACCCATATGCATAAAATAAATTTCAAAACAACTTTTAAAAAACTAGGCTGGCTAAAGGGTTCAGTGGGTAAAAGTGCTTGCTGCACAACCTACATCCTGGACTTGATTCCAGGGTCCTACAGCGGAAGAAAACTGAATCCGAGAGATGTCTTCTAACATCCACACATATGCATGACACACACATTAATAATAAAATTTTAAAAATGAAAACATTATTAAATAGGACCCTAGAAGCCATTGGAAGATCACATGATATAAGAAGGTTTCTATAGCCTACAGGACCAGGCTCACTTCTAGAAGTGGCCCCCCAAGTTCCCAGGAGCCTCATACAGGGCCTTCTCCCCTGAATGAGACTGGATACCCGCTGCTCGGTCACCTCGAACTGTCCCTCCTGATTCCTTCACAGACCATGCCATCCATCCACTCACCTTTTTTTTCTATAAGGGAAGTAAACCATTTTGGTTAGCAAGAAAGAGAAGGGCACACATGTATATTCCCATACACAGCCTTTATTTGTTCTGTAACAGTTCACATTTTAAACGGTGCTTTCTGGCAACAGACCCGCTGGCTCCTCTTCCACACAGGGAATGTGGACAGCAACTCACATTCCTGGGGTTGGTTGGTATCACCACACCGTATGTGGGGGAGGGGGGTGAGGATGTTGGGCAGGGCGGAGGGGAGGGCATTTAAAGAAAGGAAAGAGGAGGCAGAGAGGAGGGGAGACCCTTGCATTGTTGAAGGCATTACTTCTTAGTAGTCAGGCTGATTTTGTGGGCCACCCTATGTTGGATATCGGGGTAAGTTCCTGCAAGGAGAAGGAAGTACAGGGAGGCATTTGACAGGAGGCCAGCACTCGCATTGGCCAAATGAAGCCACCTCAACCCTCAGCTACCTTTCTGTACCAGCTGCAACAGGAAGTTAAGCCTGGAGTTTCCACTGCATTTAGCAAGGAGGAGATTCACGCTCCTAGCAAGAAGTTAAGATGCTATTTACTAAAACACCAAGAATTCAGTGATGCTGTCTTTTGTGGCTTCCTCTTATCTGAGATTCATCCAGCATAAACAGCCTTCAGCCCCGATAGAACAACCCAAACAGGTCTCCACTGAGCATCTTTGTTCCTTCTTCCTTCCTACAGACAGGCTTCTCAGAATACCAACACTGTAGAGAACACATTGTGTCTGGGGGCTCAATGAGGCCACCACCTACTTGGCAATTTGGTCCACTATTACCTAGTCCTGAGAAGACTACAATCTGTATTCAGCCCTTTTACTCATAGAAATCCAACTTACTGGAGATGAACCTAGAGTTCATCAAGGGACCTATTCATTGTTCCCCTTCCCAGCGTCAACCTGGTCCCACAAGACTTCCAAATGTGCTTCCAGGGTCTTATGGCAGAGGTGCCAACAAGCCTGGTGAGGCAAATCTGCAAGATGAACTGAGTACCAACCTCCTATTACCCATAACACCTATTGTGGGCAATTCACAGCCCCTCAAATCTAGAATCTAGTTTCCTTGGATCACTTTATTAACACAACCTAAAATGATACAATCCCAAGTGAGGAGAAAATCCGGTTTTCACTCAAGAAGTACGTTTTCATTAGCCACCATGGGAACACATGGCATATCAGACAATGACACAGACATTTGGAAGATTCAAAATTAAAAGTCAGACATTTACATAGAAGGCAGAAGAATGGAGATAATTCTAAAGAACCTGATCATTACAAAAGTTACAGTATTTACATGAGAATTTTCTGAATATAATGCTTCCAAGACTCTAGGAGGAAGGAAGAAGACAGGGCAGAGTGGTTACATGCTGGACCCAAGAAGCCAAAGTCCAGAAATAGATCCCTGAATAGGAGAGGAAGCAAGGGAGCAGGAGATGGAGATGCCCTAGACAGGACTGGGAGCAAGCAGGATGGAGCTGCAGCCAGGACAAGGCTACGGGACTCCAACCTTGAAGCTGAGGACAATGTGCATGCTAACCCTTCCGTAGTTACTGCAGATTCAAAGCTCATAGCTGCAGAAGTTCATAGTGCACCACACAGGGACCTGATCATCAGCGAAGTCACAGAAACTCTGCCCCTTGCTCCCTTTGTGATTGAAACAAGTCTGTTCTCACAACCACTTAACAGAGGTGGAAAGTCTAGGAGACGGAAAGACAGACATACTGGATAAGTAGCCCCATCCTAACTTCCAGTGTTTCTCACTGCTGTCTAGAGTTAAGAACCACAGGACAGGCAGATGGAAAACAGTGGTGAGCCATGGGTGACCCTCAGGATCTCAGAGGTAGGCCATCCAGACACATGAAGACCACCAAATCAGATAAATTAAGAGGACAAGAAATGGAATCCCTGACGCTTGGGGCATATCTCAAAAATCTTTTTGTTACAACAATGAACACATAGATACACACACATACACATGTACGCACACACACAGATACACATCACCTAATGCAAAACAACATACATCCTGCTTGCACGCCACTGGGTTTCCCAGCAAGGGTTTATAAATTAGAGGTACAAAAAAATAAAATAAAATAAAATAAAGCACTGTAAGATTCACATTTCCAAACTATCCACACAGAGTTCCCAGGAGGAGGGGTTAGTGCAGGATGGGAGGGTCGTGAGATGCCCCAGCTAAGCAGATCATGCTGCAGCACACAGCTCCAACAAGCTGCCAAAGTGCAGTGGTCCCCGAGTGCTGCATGACCCTGAAGTCGTCATGTCTCCAAAGAACTGACACAGGAGGGACAGGAGCCGCTCTGTAAAGGGTCTTCTGAAGCTGGATTCCATCGCACTAGATCTGTGGGATTTCAAATGGGAACTCTAAGGATCAGAATGTTTCTTCACACCCCAGTTCTCTAGTTTAGCTCCAATGGCTTGTAAGCCCCAGGGACGTGTATCCTCGGTAATAAGCTCTTCATCTTTGAACTTGGCTCAAGTATTTTCTAGGGAAAACAGTTGGCATTTTCAGCAAGATAACTCTGTAAACCATATCCGTCTGGATGTTGTATGGTTCTGTAAGCCACATCTGTATGGATGTTGTATGGTTCTGTAAACCACATCTGTATGGATGTTGTATGGCTCTGTAAACCATATCCGTCTGGATGTTGTATGGTTCTGTAAACCACATCTGTATGGATGTTGTATGGCTCTGTAAACCATATCCGTCTGGATGTTGTATGGTTCTGTACACCACATCTGTATGGATGTTGTATGGTTCTGTAAACCACATCTGTATGGATGTTGTTATGGTTCTGTAAACCACATCTGTATGGATGTTGTACGGTTCTGTAAGCCACATCTGTATGGATGTTGTATGGTTCTGTAAACCACATCTGTATGGATGTTCTCATTGGTCCCTACCCAGAAAATGCCAAAAAGATCCACCCCGTCTAGTCACCAGGATGATTAAAAAAACCACCACTCCATATTTCTAAATGCCTGGCAACCTGAGCTCAATCCCCAGGACCCACACAAAAGAAAAGTAACTTCTGCAGTTGTCCGCTGATCTCTACACACGTGTCAGGACACGTGGGCCCACACACATAAAATTAGCCAGGCATTGGTGGCGCACGCCTTTAATCCCAGCACTCGGGAGGCAGAGGCAGGCACAACTCTCTCTACTGGCTACTAGGCCAGCCTGGTCTACAGAGCAAGTTCTGGGACAGCCAGGATTGTTCATGGAGAAACCCTATCTCAGGAAAAAAGTAATAATAATTAACCAAATATCACAGTCACCTGGTAGGGAGAATCAACAAACTTGATCCTGGAGAGGAATCTTCGCAGCTCCCCACGGCCAATTTTAGGGGTGGTCTCCTTCAGCTGGACCATCTGGCCTTCCATAAGTGCCCAGCGCAGGCTAAGCTTGCTGATCACCAGAGAGGTGGGGTGTCCATCCGGGCTCATCCCTGTTCTCCTGGTGACATAAAAGGCATCTTTCCAGATGTCATTGATTCCAACTGAGGAAGGACAATGACAAGAAGCAGTTAACAAGGGAGTCAGCAGTGTGACGCCTTACACCTGACTGCCTTGTCTTTAAAATCGGAATTAATAGTAGTTGTCTGAAAAGGGACGTGAGCGTCTTTCTTCCCATGAAACCAGTTGCAAAGCTCTGTTCAGCAGGCTTGCTGGCCCTCCTCTAATATGCTGCGCTAGAAGCTTCAGCCAGTTTCGGCTCACCCTGCCTCCTCTCTTGCTCTGTTGCTCCCTTCTTCCCCTCCTCTCTCCCTCTGTCCAGGGGTTTCAGGTAAGTGGGGCACTTGACTCTGAAGGCCATGTAGATGACCAATGCCAAGTACTACCCTAGTTTGATAAGCAGCCTTGAACTGGCTCTGTAGCCAAGAAGGAGCCTTTGACTCTCCTGCCTCTACCCCGCCAGTACTGGGATCAAACCCAAGGTCTCCTGCATATGAGGCGGATACTCTGCCAACTGAGCGACATCCCCAGCCCATGAGATTCTTCTTTACCATTATTTCATGTTCCCTGACAAATGTTTTGTGCAAATGCTGCAACAGCTCATTCTATCTCCTACATGGTTTTGCGAACTGACACTTCCCACTCCCCCACCCCCCACTCCCCAATCAGCTGACAGCCTGCGAGTTCCAGACCAGCTTTTCTTCCCCATAACACCCATGACGGAGCCACAGCACCGCTTCAACTCAAGGCAAAGAGCTGTAGGGAGCAAGCCCACAAGAGGCAGGAGTGTGGAAAGGCATGGAGGAGCTTGGTGTGAGGGTACACACTTGCAATCTTAAGCATCTGGGAGGGAAGGGCAGGAAGGTTAGGTGTTCAAGGCCATCCTCAGCCACAGAGCGAGTCTGAGGTCAACCTGGGCTATGAGACCTGTGTAATTACCCCCTCCCTGGCTGAAAAAGCAAACAACACAAGGGAGCTGTGGCTGGACCGCTCCCCCTCCTCGCCCACCCACCAACAGGAGCTCAGGGGAGACCAGCAGCAGCGCGGCTCAGTTTCCAGGGCTTTGGGTTGCTGAATTAAATAAGGGTTCTCTAATATATGCTTTCAAGTTTGCTGTATAGGATCGCTTAGACACAGAGTGAAGCAGAATATATCCAAATATTCTGCGTGGTCAGCTTATGGGTAACTTTTCTCCTTTGCTTCTGCTGTTGACTCCAGTTTCTACGCAATTTGTATGTTTAACAGTCATATAACTGATCACTAAAAAAATGCCCCAGAAGAATCATCGCTCTTCCCCTTAACATCCACACAGTTAACTTACAATCCTCAGTCCCTAAAGGCACCTAGCACACAGAGGAGGCTCCATCATCACCCCAGAGTCCTCCTGGAATGGGGGTACATGTTCCCCTCAGCTTTCAGCACATTCGGAGGCCTGGCACTAGAACCCAGAGGAAACCGTCTCTTGAAGAGCCCTCATCCATCTCTTGGAAGGCAAAGTTACCACCCAGCCAAGGTGCACTCTCTAGTACCATCGGAACTCACCCTCCGAAGCTGTCACTATGCCAGTGGTGTTGGTCAGGTCCAGGAAGATGGACGGGAAGGCTGGGTGCAGGAGGTAGAGGTGGTAAAGGCCAGGAGGCTCAGCTCCTGGGGTGTCATCCTGGCAAGGGTCACAGAAAAGGAGAGTGACTACATCTCCTACATGACACCACCAGGGACAGGGAGCAGAGGAGAAGACTCTGGTCAGCCCCACTCCTGATCCCAACTACAGGGACACGCGCAATTTTACCAGAGTTCAAAATGCAGACTCACCCCTAACTCCAAATCCCTAGCTACAGTCAAAATTAAAAGGGAGAAAGAGAGAAAGAAGGGAAAGAGAGAGTGGAAGGAAGAGGGAGGGGAAGGGGAGGAAAAGAGGTGGGGAGGGGAGGTGGGAGGGGAAGGAGGGGAAGGGATGTTTTGGGAGGGGAAAGAAGGTGGGAGGGAAGGAGGGGATGGAAGGTTGGGAGGGGAAGGAGGGGAAGGGAGGTGGGAGGGGAAGGAAGAAAGGATACTTGCAAATGTCTGCAGAAGGGGAGAAGCAGGGGAGAAAGCAGGAAGTAGGGAGGAAGTCTCCGCATTGCAGAGCTAGGACTCTCATTCATCCTTACAGCAGGTAAGGCTGTGAAGAGAGAAAAGCTATTTCTGAACAGCAGCTAAATATATTTTCTGAAAAATAAAATCTATTTCCTTTTACTGGACGTCAAAACCAAGTGCAAGGGGCTGGGGATGCAGCTCCACGGAAGTGCTCGCCTAGCATGTACCCAGCCCTGGGTTTGATGCCAAAAACAAGCATCGGGCTAAACGTAGATAAAACCTAACCGTTCCCCAGAGAAACAGAGCTCTTGGCTAGACAGAAGAAAATCACTACAAATAAAAACTGCTGAGATCTGAGAATTGAGTCTCCGAGTCCCTGCAGCAGGAGAAACATCCACAAGGGGGCGTTATCAACATGCCTTCTAAGTGGGGATGGACTATAGGACACCATGTGTTGGCGGCCATACACTTGTCATTAGAAGCAGAAGCAGACTTGCACCCTTACGGGAGTAAGGTTAGTATGAGCCCTTAAGGCAGAGGAAGCCATTTTCATACGCCCGAGTATGGCAGGACAGACCTCAGGCTCAACTAACATGCCACGAAAATAGCATTCCTCACTGCCTACAGAACAAGGCGCAAAGTTCTTAGCATAAAAGTGAAAGCTTTTCAGGCCAGACGTTAAGTCACCAGCACTCGGGAGACAGAGGCGGGGAGGACTCTGTGAGTTCAAGGCCAGCCTGTGAATTCCAGGACAGCCAGAGCTATAGAGAGAGACCCCTGTCTCAAAAAATAAAAACAAACAAAAAAGCTTTTCACTTCACTTCTCTAAACTGTAACGCACACATCTGCTGCCTCCCCCACGGTATTCTCAATCCACTCGCGCCTCCTTCTGCTTCCTTACCAAGCCACTGCCTATCGTGTTATTTCCTCCTTCAGACTGCCCCACCATCCTCTCTACCCCCCTTCCACACAGCGTCTCACCCTCAGCCACATTGTGTATCCAAGCTCTTCCGTGAAACACTCCCTCATCACCCCAGACAAAATCAAACCTCCCTTCTTTTGTCCGCCTACCTATTTATTTGCTTTATGTGTGTGTTTATGCGAGCGAGTGAGGGCACGTGAGTCACAGTGTGCGCACAGAGGTCAATCGACAACGGGTTGGGAGTGAGGAGGTGACGGTTTCCCCCTCCCACTGTTCAAGGTGTAAATTCAGATTGTCAACCTTGGTGGCAAGCAACTACAGGTTGTCTTACCTTGCTAGCTCACCTGTAGTTCCTACCTGCCCCTCCATGTTGCTAAGCTCGTTTTGAAAGCCATCCAGTCCAATCCTCTCAATACTGAGGAAATCAGGACCGAGGGCACGGCAGAACTAGAATCATAACCTAGACTTGATCATCAAAATGAGGGGATAGATAGCATCTCTAGGAGTGAAGAACAGGAGCTCCCTCCCCCCAAAAAAACTAGATGGCTCAGAAAAGCAACTTATTGGGAGGGCATAGTCAACCAATTCAGAACTGTGTGTCTACCATGTTTTCCCATCCTGGGTGACCCCATCCCTGCCCCCAGCCCCTCCATCCTTCTCACTCACAGAACTGGGAGATGCAGCAGTCAGAGCTTCTGCCCAGAAGAGGAAGACAGACTTCTGGTCTGAAGTAATTGCAGAAGTGGTTGGCGTTTCCTTCATGTGACACGGGATACTGTGACTCCAGATGATGGAGCCAGAGCCACCATCCACCACCGTCATCTGCAAAGGAGAAGACAGAGAAGACAACCGTCTTTAGGAGGATGGCAGGACAAGAGAACACACAAAAGCAAGACATAAGACAAACATCCCAGAGGATAGTCAACCTCCGTATTTGTGAGCATTGGACTCCAACACTCAGAACCAGCAGGTGCCGAGTCCCTTAGAGAAAGGGCAAGTGTTAGCTACACATGTCCTCATGTGCACTCAGCTCATCCCCTAGGTTACCCACAACACCCACTGCAGTACATTAAATGTATCGATAGTTGCTGCTGTACTGTATGAGGGACAATAAGAAAACGGTCTGCAAGTGTTCAATAGAAACCGTTTTTTAGGCTATTTTCAGACCACGGCTGGTTAGTTTTGATGGCCAATAAAAAAAAAAATCTAGGCTAATTATATTTTAAAAATTAAAACTCTATAACTCTGCCTTTAAGATTAAATGAATGAAAACTATCGAAATATTACATCCTTATAACACACAACCTTACAGGAAAGCCAAGATGTGGAGCCAGTGGCTCAGCATCCCTGACCATGCTATAGCACTGTTTCTGAGCTCTGGTCCTAGCGTTCCTGACCTGCTATTCTTTGCCAGTCACATAAATTCAACCTCAAAGGCCCGACCCATATTCCCTTCTTTTACCAAAAGCTGTCCATAGCACCAAGCCGGTCTGAGTGCTGCCCCCTCTGAAACCTTACTGAGCCTATACTGAAACTACTGAAACGGCTCTGCTCACTAATACCCACCTCTCCCCCGCCCCCAGCTTTGTAAGGCGTCTCCTCCTACCCAACTGCAAAACAGGCTCCGGAAAGGACATAGGATTAATCTAGAAAGGCTAAACTGCAGCTCACAGCAATGAGCTGTGCGGTTCCATTTTACTCATTAACGACACTGGTGTTCTCCAAGGGAGGAGGCTCTTGTTCTCCCTGGTGTCTCACCCAGGGCTGGACACAGCCCATTCTTTCCATGTGTTCTGACTGATTTGAGGCCCATGGTTTACCTTTTTCATCCCAACTCCATCCTGTGTCTGCAGAAGGAAGTCCAATGTCTGATCATCAGTGAAATACCCAGGAGTGGGCTGGCTGCAATCAGACGAGGAAGCAATAAACAGCATATACAGAAAAGAAATAGGGGGCTAGAGAGATGGCTCAGAGGTCAAGAGCACTGGCTGCTCTTCCAGAGGGCCTGAGTTCAATTCCCAGCAACCACATGGTGGCTCACAACCATCTGTAATGAGATCTGGTGCCCTCTTCTGTCATGCAGGCACGAATGCAGGCAGAACACTGTGTACCTAATATAATTAAGTAATTAATTAACTAATTAATAAAAAAAGAAACAGGCACCTCCCTCCTTCCCTTGCGACAGCCATGGGTAACAAGCAAGCGCTCTAGATAATTTTGAGAGTGGGAAAGGTGCTCAGAACAGCGGCCATGTGAAGGTACTCTGCAAACCTGCGCAGGCCTTGGAGGCTCAGTTTCCAGAGCGGCATAAGATCTTGTCCCCGAAGCAGGACCAGGCCTTGTCTGGTTGTAATCAAGAGGCTGCTGCAGTTGGAATCGGGAGCCTTTACCAGCTGGAGAAGCTCAACTCCATCGCTACGTTGCACAAAAACCCAAGAGTTAGTCTCTGCTGTGAGTGAGAGTCCCACACCCACTTATTCTGACATCTTATTCCCGCTGTGTGCCTGCTTGCGTATACAGTTGTCCCTTAGCGTCTATGTGGGAACTGGGCCCAGGACCTGCTGCAGATTCCAAATTCACATGTTCATCATCCTTACACAGAAGGTTGCGGTGTCTCTGTACAATCTACCCCCTCCTGCGTAGTGTAAGCATCTCTGGAGTAGCTACGGCTGAGTGCAATGGAGACAGAAGCAATGCTACACCCTTCAGGGCGCAGAGACAAGAAAACCAAGTCTGTATATGTTGGGTACAGATGCAATTTTTTCCAAGTATTTTCATTGGGAGGGGGTAAATCCACAAATGTGGACCCCCCCAGGATATGTACTCCCCATTCTACTCTTGCATCCACTTCCCACCATGGTCTTGTCAAGCAGGGCACGTGGTCATTCCTACTGAATCTCATCCTCTGTCTCCAGAAAGGTCCACGCACTTGGTCATTCCTACTGAATCTCATCCTCTGTCTCCAGAAAGGTCCATCATGCACATTCAAAAGGAACTCAGAAAACAAAGCTGCGATGTGACAGCTCTCTACCTGAACACTCTGGGGACAGTCATAGAGACAAGGACAATGGCATGGAGGACAGACAGAGATCGGGACAGGTAGCCTGAAATTGTCACTAAGCTTAGACAATAACTCTTGGCATCTACTTTAAATTATTTCTTTTTCTACACTACTGAAACCATTCCATCAAAATCTGATAATGCCTGAGGGAAAAATGCAGGAAATGACTTGAAATTTCTGACAGAAAGGAATGTAACAATTTTTACCCAGACCAACAGCTATGTAGGTAAAGTATGTGGATCACTGCATGTGACAACCACATGCTTTTAGTTGAGATGTAAATAAAAATTAAAAAACAAAAAACAAAAAACACAAGATTTCATGCCTGCTATTCCTGCTTCTGTCAAAATGATTCTTCAACTGGGAGAAAAGCATAGGGAACAGTAGGTCAAAGGTGTCATAAAGATTTTTCCATATATTTATGTATTTATAAATATATCCCCTAAGCTGTTCTGATTGGGACCCATAGCTAACACCCGTTCTTGGTATCCAGTTATGAGGTAAGCTCTGTTCACCGAGGCACAGACCCAACATTCCACAGCTCAGGAAAGAGAATTTCTCACTGTGTTGTGCAGATCAGGAGTTGATATTTCAAGGTTAGCTGCACTTTGCCCAAACCTCTGCTCTTAGGCACCAGTCAACCCAAACTCGGAGACTCCATGCTGCCTGAGTCCCCAGAAGACCTCACTATGGCCAGAGGCGGATCTCAGCCACACCTGTAAACGTCGATGAGCTCCGAAAGGTTGACGGATCTGCGCTTCTCCCATTCTGGCTCTTCTATCTGCAGAGAGGGTGGTGAGCTGTCTCGGTTTTGGGCCTGAACAAAAATGTCCCGCAGGGCGACAGCTTGTATATTTCCTAGTGCCACAGGAAGAGTCAACACTGAGAAGCTCGGGTTAAAACAACTACCCAGGCTATCCCGGGGTGGGGTTCTGGGCAGGAGACACACAACAGATCACACGGGTGCAATAGAGCCCACTCCAACTGGTCCCACTTGGGAGTGATGGGGAACTGATCAAGTGGATGCTGGGCAGCCCCCTATCCAGAGAAAGCATCAAGAGAAACCATAGTTAATGACCTGCAGTAAGTGAGACGCCCTGAAAAACAGCCAACACCAGCGAACCCCAGTGTGGGTAATCATCCTATCTCACGGGAGACCTAGCCACCAACACCAGGGGAGCAGAAGCCAAAGTCAGCCTTGCTTCTTACCAAAGCCAAACAGGATGTAGACAGCCCCACTGGTGGTGATGTAAACCTGGGGACCAATCAGATTCCCCACTCCCACGATGTTGTACTTCACAGGTCGGCCCACGGGACTCCCTGTCCGGCCAGAAACCAGCAGAAAACACAGATCTGGCTGAAGAAATAAAAAGAAAGGAACGTGTTAATGTAAGCCTTTCATTTCCTAATGCCTTATGAGCTAAGGGCTCCGAAACTCTTCCTATGCTGAAAAGCACAAAGCCAAACTTACTCGCTTATTCCCCTGGGAATAAAAAAATGGGGGAAATGTGTACTCTCTAACTAGACATGTGTGAAGAGTATCTTCAGGACTCCTCAGACAATGGAACACGGTAGTTACTGGCTATATCCTCTCCTAAGGCCGGGAGCTAAATATAATATGCCGATGCAAGGAGGGTTGTAGCAATATTTTGTTTGTGTTTTAACAAATAAAGCTTGCCTGAAGATCAGTGTGCAGAGCTAAGCCACTAGAGGTCAGGCAGGTGTGACCTTTAATGGCTCACACCTTCAATCCCAGGACTTGAGAGTCCCACAACTTTAAACCCAGCACTAGGGAAATGGAGACAGGAAGGGATATGGCTGGGCGGGGAGAGGAATTTAAGGCCGGAGGAGACAGAAGCTCACTGCAGTCTTGAGGATGCAGTCAAAGGACAGGATCACCCTTTTGGTCTGAGAATTCAGTAGAGGTAAAAGGTCTCTCTAGTGGCTGGCTACTCTGCTTCTGTGATTTCTCAGCTTTCACCCCCTAATATCTGACTCTGGGTTTTTAGTAAGAACAATTAGAATTCATGCTACAGAGGGTCTTTACTCAAGAGCCAGGATCTACCAGAGAGGCCCCGATGGTCAGCTTGGTAGGTATTAGAATCACCAGGAAAACACATCTGGGTATATCTCTGAAGATGTTTCCAGAAAGGTTTACAAAGTAGGAAGGCCAACCCTAATTGTAGGTATCTTCATCCCATCAGCTTGGGGCGTTGACTGAATAAGAGTAAGATATCATGGGCTTCAGAGATGGTGCAGCAGTTATAAGCATTGTGGCTCAATTATGAGGACCAGTGCCTGGATCCCAAGATGTAAATCTGGCAGCTTATGAATCCTTATAACTGGCCCCAAGGGATCAGAAGTCATCTACCCCTGTAGAGCACTCACATACACACATGTGCACACGCACTCATATAGACGTATGCTGTAGGAAGGCTTGCAGCTTGTGGTTACCCAACTACTGGGGCGTGGCCTCTTATACTACGTATGTGGGTGCAGAGCCTGCGTCCACCCCTTCTTTTTCCTTTGCCCTGGCTGCTCATTCAGATTGTTGGATTTGATCTCTGTCCACCGTGCAAGCAGAGAATTCTGATTTGTGAGTTTACCCCTAAATATCTATTTCTCATTTCTGCGCTAGTGTGGGATTTCTTTTATGCGCCCATTCATCACTTGGTGCCCACATGGATTTAAGCTCCACACCTATCAGGTGGATGGCCTGGCCATTCCACGGCCCAGACAGGCTTGCTTTTGCCTAAGCAGTTTTTTTTTGTTTTTTTTTTTGTTTTTTTTTTGTAGAATCCCTGTCACAGCAGAGTTTATTGGAGTTAGGGGTTGGAAGGAAAATTTTATGGGCTCAGGGATCTCTTTGAAAAAAGAAAAAGAAAAAAAGGGGGGTGAAATTGGATGGGATAATAGATTAGTATGAGCTTATTCACACTAATAATAATAGTGAATAATAGAGTGAATACTTGTGAGATATGATTTATAGGCAATTACATTGGTATAGATTCTTATATATTGATACAAAGTTAAATTATACTGAATATTAAGCATGTTTCTACCCCTGCTTAAAACATATTTTTTATATACTGATATAAATTTATCATATTGCAATGTACATTTCTACCTCTGATACTATTTATGTGATAACATTGTTTACATTTGATATGTAATGACATTGTTTACAGATGAAGATCATTGTCTTCATATATTGCACAGTTGTTTATTGTCTGAGTCTTTAAGTTAGATAGATATTGAGAATTATATAGATTAATAGTCATCTAAGTTTGTCNCTTATATATTGATACAAAGTTAAATTATACTGAATATTAAGCATGTTTCTACCCCTGCTTAAAACATATTTTTTATATACTGATATAAATTTATCATATTGCAATGTACATTTCTACCTCTGATTAAGATACTTATACATTGTTTACATTTGGAGATCATGGTCCTCATTTATTGCAGTTGTTTATTGTCTTAGTCTTTAAGATATATAGGTATTAAGAATTATAGATCAATAGTCATCTATGTTTGTCACACTTATAGTTAGACTAATCGGGTTCTTTAGATACATAGAGATTATATTCTACATAGATAGATAATCTTCAACCACTTCAAAGAGCTGTAGAAAATGGCATTTAAATAACTTAGAGTTCTGTTGATGTGAGACACAATTGCTCCTGGCAGCACCGATCTATTCCCAAGAGAATGTTCAGCACTGAAGACACTCCACTTGGAGCTTGTTTTCTTCTTGGCAAAAACTGGCCTTTGGGCAAAGAAATGCCCATGCCTAAACCACTGACAAGATATAAAGTATCCGGAAATGGATACGAAAACTGTCAAATCCTGCTAAGACAGGGTAAGACGGTTTTGAAAATTTTCTTGCCTTTGAAAATGGTCTGTCAGTTATTCTAGGTCTTAGCCAAAGTTGGTTGCTTCAACGTTGCAAATGAGACTTTGAATGATTGCTCAGGTAGCCAATTGTCTCTGTCATATATTGCTCGCTTTGGAAGCTGCTTGATTGCACTTCTTGCCTGCTCAAATAATATTATTTCCCTTCTCAGGTCTTTGATGGGGTTGAAGATTAGATAGTCATAGTTACCTTCCTCATGATTTAGCCAAGCTTATTTCTGATGCAATATTTAGACTCCTTGAACTAGAATGTTTATTAAAACATTTGTCATGTGTTCCTTGCTTAATATTGCTTATGTTGTTTGTAATTTTATACTTGGGATCTGTTCCCATTGTATATAGTTGTATTGGGTTTGGATCAATCTTGTTTAGACAAAAGGGGGGGTGATGGGGGAAGCTTTGTTAACCAATCATCTTTAAGAAGTAGGAACCTAGTTAAGGCGTGGCTTCTTGAAGCCCAGGAGAAAAACTGGGATGGACCGGTGCTCGCCCTCTCTGGGTGATTCCCGTGGGATACAGCAGAACATTCTTGAGGCGGAGTTTCCCCTTATAATAAGTAAAAATATAATTGTTTATCTTTAAGCTAGCCTGGTTATTTCCCAAATCAAGGTAACAGCTACAGACGTACATATAAACACATGCACACACATAAATGAAATGAAACTGTAATAAGAAAGAAACAGAACTGAGTATAGCCTTCATCTCTTTCTGCTCTCTGACTCAGATGAAAGGTGACTAGCGGCCTCATGTTCACGCCTCTTCAATCAGTGAGACACAGTAACGCCTTCCTTCCTTCAGTTGCTTTTGCCAGGCATTTGATCACAGTAATGGGAAAGGGCCAACACACAGGTGCATCAGCCCAAAGAATTCTCCATCTTAACATCACATGTCTGGCCTGGCCGTGGCCACCGCCAACGTCACTCTCAAGATTCACTTTCCAGGGCTGGAGAGATAGCTCAGCAGTTAAGAGCACTGGCTGCTCCTCCAGCGGTCCTGAGTTCAATTCCCAGCAACCACATGGCGGCTCACAGCCATCTATAATGAGATCTGGTGCCCTCTTCTGGTGTACAGGTGTATATGCAGGCAGAACACTATATAGAATAAATATTTTTTAAAAAAAGATTCGCTTTTCTGTGAATGGCCAGCTAGTAAATAATTTTGTAGGCTTTTCCAGTGGCATGGTCTCCATAGAAACTATTTTCTATTGTTAGTCTAGCATAAAATCTGTCACAAGCAACACAGAAAATGACTATGCTCCAATAAAAATTTATTTGAAAAAACAGTAGGGGGAATTTAACACAGTTTATTAGCCAGCCCCAGCTCTAGAATGTTTTTTTTTCATTTATTTTTATTTTATTTACATATATGTAGCTGTCTGTTGAGTATATGCTGTCTGTGAGCAGGTGCCCTTGGAGGCCAGAAGAGGGCGTCAGAGAACTTGAGTTGAAGTTACAAGCGGCTGTGAGTGACAGGACATGAGCACTAGGAACCAAATTCCAGTCCCCCAAAAGACTGCCGAGTCAACTCCCAGTCCCCCAAAAGACTGCCGAGTCAACTCCCAGTCCCCCAAAAGACTGCCGAGTCAACTCCCAGTCCCCCAAAAGACTGCTGAGTCACCTCCCCAGTCCTCTGAAAGATTGCTAAGTTACCTCCCCGGCCCTTTCAAAAGGTTTTGACAAGGTTTATCATTTCAAACCTCTTGTTTTGTTTTGTTTGTTTGTTGAGACAGGATTTCTCTGTATAATAGCCTTGGCTGTCCTGGAAGTCATTCTGTAGACCAGGCTGGCCTCGAGATCACAGAGATCCACCCACCTCTGCTTCTGAATGCTGGGGTTAAAGCGGGTGCCACCATCGCCTGGCAAATTCTTACAGAGAAGATAGATGGGTATGGTCTATAGCACAGGCAGATAAAGTGTATACTCCGTCAACGGTAACTCCAAGTGGAGTTTGTACAGGATGCATCGCACTCTGCCGTTACGTATTCTAAAACAGCCCTCAAACTCACAGAGATCCACCTACCTTTCAGTGCTGGGATTAAAGGCCTGCGCCACCACCGCCTGGCTCTAAAACATTCTTATCAAAGACTAGATGAACGAAATAAATGTACCGCAAAGCTGAGAGGAAGAGCTGAGACACTACAGAACAAATGTAATTCTCTGAAAGGTCAGAATTAAATTGTAAGAAAAAACTGTTTTACTAATTAATTGATTAATTAAAAGATGAGAGCTTTCACTGATTATAAACATGGAGCAAAGCTTAGAGAGTCTTCAGGTACAAATACAGCAATCAAGCTTGCATTAAAAGAAGGAAGAAGCTGGGCATGCAAAACAAAACAAAATATCTGGGTGTGGGAAGCAGGGTCAAGGGGATTGCCACAAATTCCAGGCCAGCCTGGTCTGGAATAGTAAGCTATAGGCCAATCCAAGCTCTACAGGGCTTGTCTTTCAAGACAAGGTTTCTTCTCTGTGTAGCCTTGGCTGTGCAGGAATTTACTTTGTAGGCCCAGGCTGGCCTTGAACTCAGAGATCCACCTGTCTCTGCCTCTGGAGTGCTAGGACTAAAGGTGTGCACCATCACTGCTCCGCAGAGACCTTAAAAGGAAAGACGTGTGGTGGTACACACCTTTAATGCCAGTATCAGTGAGGAAGAAGGGTGGATTTCTCTACATAGTGAAACTCTGTCTCAAAACAAAATAAAAAAAAAAAATACCTGGTGATGGTACAAGCTTTTGATCCCAGAACTCTGGAGGCAGAGGAAGGCAGAGTTCAGGGCCAGCTGGGTCTACAGAATGAGTTCCAGGACAGCCAGGGCTACTCAGAGAAGCCCTGTAAAAGAAGTAACGGTATCTGTTTGGCTTGAACTTCCAGGCTGCCCCTGCACAACCCAGAAAGCCCCACTCCCGTCTCTCTATCTTCAAATCCTACCCACTCAGAGAGGCTCTGAACAAAGGAAAGATGCCAAAGCCCAGTCTGGCACCTCTAAAACACTCAACTTTTGATCATACTTGGGCACAACCCAGTTTGTGGTGAACACGTCGTCACTCCTTGCCTACACTCTCTAAAGTCATTTGTGGGTGCAGGCCATCTCTGGGACTGGAGAACCTGCCAAGGAGTTACTTTGCTCAAATGAATCTGTTATTATACTTTTTAAATTTGGCTTGATCTGGCTGTGTTGGTGGAGAAACCTATTAGTATCCCTGGGTTGAGATAACCACGAACAGAACTCTTTACAGATGTGGGCACTGCATGTTACAGGACATATGGACAGACTGGGATCAAGGGAAAAGGGGCTCCCTGTCTGAGAGGGCTGTATAAAAAAAACTGTGGGTATTCAGTCTTCGGAGTAACCAACTAGCTTAGTGGGTCCAGGCTAGCAGCCACTGGGTTTCCTGAACTGGGTGGACACCAGATTCATTCCAAGACGCCAAATGGAACTGTGGTGGGAACAGTGACTGGAAGCCACTAGGATGAACAGATCTCCCAACAAAACAGCCCAGGGGCTGGGCCAGAGTGTAATGGTGCTGCTCACACAAGTGACATTCACCTTAGCCTGGGTGCTTGAGGGGGGAGCACATGTGACCAGGGATCTGGACTCAGACGGATGTATGGTTTGAGTGCAATAACTACGGGCTTCGCAGGTCCCTTCTCCCTAACATGCTAGACCAGACCAAACCCTACACCCCAAAGCAGGCCCTTCTGTCAAGCTCAGTTCATACTCCACCCAGACCTAAGACTTCCACCACTCTAAACCACAGCCCTAACTACATTCCCTCCCTGTGTCTGTGGCTCACAGGGCTCCTCATGCTGCCTGGAATCAAGGCAGAGGTCAGAAGGAGCCAGCAGGGGCTGCTCTACACCTGGGGCCTCTCTAATCATAGATTCTAGCTGTCCCTTCCAGGCAGAAGGGAGACTGTCCAATCATGTGCACACTACTGCTCAAATGAGGAAATTCTGTGAGGCAGCTGACCAATAGGCCAGTTAGAGACAGAGTTAACAGCAGGCGAGCTGGTTCTCCAAGGGCCCCACAGTACAGAGGGTCCTGACAGCCTGGTCCATGCCCCTCAACGCCACTGGGTGTAAGAAACAGATGGGGCATTGAGACTAAGATTTCTGGGGCTGGAGAAATGGCTCAGAGGTTAAGAGCACTGATTGCTCTCCCAGGTCCTGAGTTCAAGTCCCAGCAACCACAAGGTGGCTCTGTAATGAGACCTGGTTGCCCTCTTCTGGCTTGCAGGCATACATTCACACATATACATATACATAATAAATAAATATACATATACATAATAAATAAATAAATAAATCTTAAATAAAATAAAATTTAAAAAAAAGACTAAGGTCACCTGAAGCCCCAGCACTAGGGAACAGAGGTGAAGATTGTGACGTTTAAAGTGAGCCTGAGCTACACAGCGACTCTGTCCCTAAAAGTCTCAAAACAAAAATAAAAAACAAAAGAACTGGATCTCAGCTGGGTTGTGGGGTCCATGCCTTTTATCCCAGCACTGAGGAGGCAGAGGCAGGCGGATCTCTGAGTTCCAGGCCAGCCTGGTCTATAGAGCTTGGGTTAGGTTAGGGCTATCTTTCTTGAGGGAGAAGGGAGGAATCGAGACACATGCCATCACTGTGGAACACAGACAGACTAGAGCTTACTAAGTAGACCAGGACCAGGCTGTCCTCAAACTTATGGCAATCCTCCTGCCTCAGCTTCCAAGTGCTGGGATTATAGATGTACGATACCACATCCACACTGGAAGTCTGTCCCTTTATAGCACCTTCCTTTGGTCACTGATTAAACAGAAAGGTGCGGGTCTGATTCTCAACATGCAGCCCAGGCTGACCTCCTGGATTACAGAGATGCAGCGCCTGTGTGCGGGTACTGTTGAGACAGGACCTTCTGTGTCGCCAGGCTGATCTCAAGGTCACTATTTAGTATGGTCCTTCTGCGTTTCTCTAGGTGTGAAGGTATTACCACCACACCTGATTCATGTGATACTGGGGACCAAACAAGGGCTTCATGCATGCTAAGCCAGCAACTGAGCTATATTTAAAGTCTGCATCCTATGAGCTTTCTATCAACCCATCCCACTGGATACAATACAGTAAACTAATATTACATTTACAGAGTAGAAAATAGGCAGTTTCTAGGGACTTAATTTGTTAGCTCTACTTTTCCTAAGCTTCCTACATGGAGACATAACTTTCTACTTTAGGCGGGCGTAGGAACTACAGCACTGCTTGCCCAAGGCCACAAAGCTTCAGAGAGATGCAGAAGGAATTTACATACAGGCCATCTGCCCCCACAGCTCTCCCACACCACAGTCCTCAGAACCACAGTGGTATCATGGAAAATGAATTTGGAATGCTCTTGGTTCACTTAACCTCACCAAAAGAATCTATTTCAGCCTAAAGCATTGCAGAAACAAGGTTATAGGCAGATATCGCAACACTTGAAAGCAATCCCCGTAAGAAATTAAAAACCTTTGGAAACAGAGGCTATACCTGCAATTCTCCAATGGCCAGCACCACCAGATCTCTGACACCATCCCCATCCAGGTCCGGCAGCACCACAACTGGGGCAGCCAAGGTGCCATTAGACAGATGGTCTGGGTCTAGGGTCCACATGACTTTCCCTGGAGAAGGAGAGAGAGGTGGATCACTTCTGCTTTCTGGCCCAGCAAAAGGCAGCCACAGCAGTTCCCAGCCAGAAAAGAAAACTCAATGGGCTGAGCAGGGGACAGCAGCCTCTCCCAACTTTTCCCCCTTTAGCTTTTGTTTGAGGACAAAAGGAGCGGAAATGAGATCCAAATCCTTGGACATATGGGAATACTTCCATGTAATAACCCCACATCTGGATTTTAATTCATTCCTTCATTGTTTGGTTCCATGTGTGTGACTGTTTGACTGCATGTATGTGTGTGCATCAAGTGTGTGCTGATGCCAGGAAGGTCAGAAGAGGGCATCAGACCCCCTGGAACTGATTGTGAGCTGGTTGTGAGCTACCCTGTGTTGCTGGGACCTAAAGCGGGGTCCTCTGCAAGAGCAGCCCAGTGCTCTTAACTGCTGAGCTCTCTCTCCAGCCCCACACACCTGGATTCTGTGTATCAAATAGAGACATCTAAGTCTTCCTGGCAAGTAGGAGCTCACTAAGCAGGGCTGAGGAATGTGTCTGTCATGGGGCACTGCAGCCACTAAGGAGGCCACACCAGAGAAATTGCAGAAGGCTTTCAAGGACTTCAGTCCTGACCTAAGACCGCATGTGACGTGTGTGTGTGTGTGTGTGTGTGTATGTGTGTGTGTATAAAACTCAGGCTAGCCTTGATGTCCTTGAACTTCTGATCCTATTTCTACCTCTTCAGTGAGTGCTGAGATTTCAGGCTTATATGACTATGCCCAGTTTAAGTGATGCTGGGAGTCAAAACAGGGACTTTGGACTTGTTAAGTAATCACTCTACCAAGAGATCACACACACACACACACACACACACACACATTATATATATTTATTCCCCCACTCAGCGGTACCCCACTAACCAAGTATGTCACACTTGTAATCCCAGAATTTGGGAGGCTGATGCAGGAAGATCTAATGAATTCAAGGTCTGGGGCACAGTGTAAAATCATGTCTCTGATGGGGGAGGGAACAGGAGATAGGGAGGGGAAATTGTGGTATGTATGTAAAATAAATGAAAAAAATTAATAAAAATAAAAAAATATTTACTGAAATTTTAAAAAATTGACCGGAGAGTGGTGGCGCACCCCTTTAATCCCAGAACTCGGGAGGCAGAGGCAGGCGGATCTCTGTGAGTTCGAGGGCCAGCCTGGTCTACAGAGCTAGTGCCAGGACAGCCAGAGTTGTTACACAGAAAAACCCTGTCTCGAAAAACCAAAAAAAAAAAAAAAAAAAAAAAAGTCTCAAAAAGGAGGAGGCAAAATAAAACACCGCACACCTCTAATGTGGGAAGGATGTCACACCCCTTCAAGTGGCCCTGTGACAAGCACACTGTAAGGAGACACCTTTATTACACTGGGCTCCTTTCCATCACTTTCGGCCTGTGGACCTCAGAGGGTCACATCAACAGCCTCCCCAGTCCAGTTCTTAGCCCTAGCATCCAGTCAACACCCAGGTTTACACAGGGACCAGCATAATTCAGGAAGTGACACTCCCTCGCCTGTTGTACAAAGAGCAGAGCAGAGAGACTGTTCACAATCCGAGCACCCCCACCCCCACCACCACCACCACACACACACACACACACACACACACACACACCAGCAGCTTCAAGTTTGGGGAAGAATTTATCTTATCACCAAACAGGTTGCCACAAGAATCTCTGTTAACTCCACCTGCCCAAGCCCTTTATCTCCTTCCCTTAATAAACACCTTCTGAACCAGAGTAGCAAAGCTCTCCTCCCCCTCCCCCGCAGGCTGTTTAAATACAAAACCCAGAGGCTCACAGCAAAGCTCCAGGCCACTCACTCTACCTGTTGTCGCATTGAATGCGCTGAGCATCTTGCGTGTCCCTGTCACAAGGCAGATGGTTTTGGCCATGCTTCCTGGCATCAGATCCAAGCATGTGACATCTTGAGCCTCCTCTGGGAGGGCACTGGACCACAGTGTGCTGCCGTTCACCCCGGAAAGACACACAAGATCTGCAGTTGGTTGTGAGCCACCACCTAAGGGCGCGCCAGAGAGAGGAGGATGGGGCGGAAGAGAGGAGAGTCAGGGGTGAGTTTTCAAGACACTTGAAACCCAGAAGTGAATGGTGGCTGCTGAGGCAGCGGCTCACACTGGTGTGCTTAGCTCCCTGCTGTGCTTCTGACAAGGTGTGAACACAGAACTTGTTATCTCTCCTACCTCCCACCTCGTGGAGGACAAGTGTAAGAGCAGCCGCTGTGGGCTTTCCTACAAGGCCTCACCATGTCTCCATTTTGGCACCTTTCCCAGCACATATGTTTGTCTGTCGGCCACCTTAGCCTACACTAAACAGGGACATCCTTGAAGGCAGTCACTAATTTCTGATTTCTCAACTCATTACAGGATGCCTGCCTGAAACAGCTGAGCAAAAGACGGGTAAGGCCAACAAAATGGGAGGGTAAAGCCATCTGCTCCAGGGCCTGACAACCTGAAGACCCCAGTCCCCACCACTATTCCAGATTCTCACATGGCAGAAGAAGTCAACTCCTACAAGTTGCCTTCTGGTTCCACAAGTGCACCGTGACACACATGCACACACGCATGCATGCACACACCAAAGGACAGGAGCAACATCCAGAACCCTGAGTAGCGGTTGTTGAAGGGGGGAAAGGCGTGTGCAGGAGCACACACAAGCTGACCCAGAATCCACGCAGCATCCGGAGTAAACCCCAACTCTTGTCCCCAGCAGAAGAGGGTGTTTTCAGAACAGGCCTGAAGGTTATGGAGCAGCAGGCAGCAAGGGGGGCTTGCGGTCTGCAGCTCTCTGGTTTGCTCCTGGGCAGGAGAAGAACACTTGGGACGACAGGATCCAGGTCCAAGGAAGCGGAACCACAGCAGCTCAGGCCGGGATCTGACCTAAGAGTGGTCACTATTCCTGCCAGCTTTACTTTCGCTCTCAGGAGCGGACATCTTGACTCAGTTCTACTTTCTGCTTCAGCCACCATCAGCTGCAAAGCTTTTTCCTGTCCACCAGCAGTGCTAACTGAACAACACAGCCTCAAACAGGAAACGGAGTGGCCTGCAGAGGTAGCAATTGGTACCACCTGGTACTGTCCTCTAGACTTTTCCAGTCCGATCCAATGCTTTTCTTCCTGTCACAAAACCACGTATCAAACATGCTTCCAAGAGGTGTTTCTGGTAATACCAGGCCAATGTACGGTACAGAAATCCCTAAAGCATGCCGAGTGCTCACTCTGGGCCTAAATGATTCAAAAGCTCTTCCTAGGACTTCTTCGCTCTCTGGGCAGGGTCCTTACATCAGCTGGTATGCTACAGTCATTGCTAATTTAGTACACATCCTGGGCGAATTAGGACCCTGTGTAACTATCATGGAAATGAGGCATTTTTGCTTGTTTTTTGGGTGTCAGGTGTAACCGAGTCCCAGAAACAGCATGCTCAGCTAGTGTAACTATGGAGAACTTGACGAGGAGACTATTGATAAAGATGTCTCAGGGTGGAGGACCCCATCAGTGGCAGTGTAGCCCCTCAGAGCTGTCAATGCCCCCAGGACAGAGAAGGGAGAGATCACTGAAATCAAGAGTTAGTTCTCTAACAGGGCTACCTAGAGACCTGCCATGGTGGTGGTCAAGTCTGTTGCCAGCCTGCTCCAACTCCAGCTGCGAGGAAGCCGGGGAAGGAAGTCCCACTTAGCCACCTAGGGAGCCTGTAAGTATCCTCCACATAGTTTAGCCTTCCCGGGGAGGACAAGCCTGAAGAATTAAACTGAAAGGAAAAGGGGAAAGGGAAGCCACCAGCCCAGACAACTGTGTGCAAAGGTGCATAAGCCATGACCAACCCTGCCAGGACTGCGAGAGCAGGGTAGAATCAACCTTCACTGTAATTTAGGGGAGTGGAAAACTGGCTGGGGGGATAGTTCAGCTGGTAAAGTGCTTGCTACAAGGAAGAAAGCCTGAGCTCAATCCCCAGAACCCACATAAGCAAGCCTGGAGAGGCTGCACATGCTTGTTATCACAGTGCAAACAGGCAGCTTCTGAGGACTGCTACCCAGCTCCAGGCCAGAGAGAGACACTGTCTCAAAACATAGTGTGGGCTGTTCCTGAGGAATGACCTGTGAGGCCGGCTCTGCCCCTCCCCCAACACACACACACACACACACACACACACACACACACACTCTGCAGGATATTTGATCACACTGTGAAACCCGAGACTGTGTTAATAAAATCAACCTGGGAGTGGAGCCAGCAACTAATTAGCAGGAATTAGCCACAGAAAGTATGGAGGAGCCAGGAAGAGCGATAGAGAGATACAGAGGAAGGAGTGGGGAGGGACTTGGACTTTCTTTGGTCTTTCTGGTTTGGGACAGCTGAAAAATTCTCTCTTGCTGGGTCTTTGGACAAAAAGGAAGCTGGTGGCTTCTTGGCCTCTCTGAGCTAGCAGGTTTTCACCCCAACATCTGACTCCTGAGTCTTTATTGGTAACTAGCACTATAGAGACTTAGTTAAAAACTACATTTGGCGACAGCAGTAGAGCCAGCACCAGAGGGACCAGAAGTCCCACCAGGCCCTGGAATGAGCGATAGGTTGCTGATTGCAAGACATAGTTAAAATATAAGTAGGTTCAGATGCAGCTGCCAAACTGGCAGGAAAACCATACCCAGACCTAATTACTAAAAGCCGTGACCCCAAGGTTGGGGTCACTTCTTTAAACCAGTTTCTTCACTTGCCAGGGTGACCACTCAAAGTCCCTCAGACTTCCATGCACTCTGGTTCCTTCCTTCCTTCCTTCCTTCCTTCCTTCCTTCCTTCCTTCCTTCCTTCCTTCCTTCCTTCTTTTCTCTTTCTTGCCCTTCTTTCTTTTTTGGAGCAGGGGTCACTTTGAGACAGCATCCCTTTAATTCCAGCAGTCCTATAATTCGATATGCAGACCAGGCTGGCCTTGAATTCACAGAAACTGGCCTGCCTTCACTTTCTGAGGGCTGGGATTAAAAGTGGGCAGGTGCACCACCATTCTGGGCCCTGTTTTCATGTGCTGATCTTTATTTACCTCAGGAACTTTCTGATGAGGCACATCACGCACGGTGGATCTGTAGTGACCTGTGGCCTGCAGAGCCTCTCACACACTGTCCCTGGGAAGTTGTCCTTCAGCTGACACCTCCCCCTTGGCAGCCTCCAGATGCATCTCTTACCTCCTTCAGTCCCATTCCTGGTTGTCACAAAGGAGAGAAGCACGTCCCGCAGACCATCTCTATTCACGTCAGCCAACTCCAGGGGAGACAGGTCCCCGCCTGGCGTACACATAATGAAACAAAAAGGGCCTGAGCCAGTTACCACAGACTAGTTCTCTTCTGCCAGGTTAGAAAGAAGACAGATGCAGACACTGCCAGCACCCCTCCCGGCCCAGGTGGACTGTCTATTCCCAAACAGGCAGCAGAAATACACATCTCCCTTGGCCCTGCCCAGAACCCTGGACACCACACATAGCAAACAGCAGGGGACATTAAGTTAGACTAACTAGAGACCCAGGGAATGATAATGGTAATGTATGGAATCCTGGGGTTTCTGGCCACACTAGACAAGGTACAGTGAAACAACTGGCAACTCAGAAATGCCACAGGACAAAAGAAGTCCTAATAAACCTGCCTTCCCTGGCCAGAGGCCCAGGAAGGGTACAGCCCAGCCAGGGAAATTGATTACAGATAATACCAGCCTCACCCTACCCCACAGTAAAGGCTGTGGGACCTGACTTCTGGGTTGTTTGTTTGTTTGTTTTGTTTTGTTTTGTTTTTTGGTTTTTCAAGACAGTGTTTCTCTGTAGTTTTGGAGTCTGTCCTGGAGCTAGCTCTTGTAGACCAGGCTGGCCTCAAACTCACAATGCTGGGATTAAAGGCCTGCGACACCACCACCCGGCTTCTGGAACCTTGCTCTGGCACCATCAAGTCACCCTACCCTCAAGGCCAAAATGGCCATGGGGAGCCAGGACCATCCCACTTGCCAAGGGGGGGGGGTGGGCGGCCCAGAACTCTGCCCAGTCCTGTGGGGAACAAAGATAAAGGAGGATCCCCTCCTTGTGCCTGAGGAGTGAGAGAATGCCTGCCAGACCTGCAGGGAATTCAGACAAGACTGGAAGCGCAAGCTGGTAGAACCACTTCAGCAAATAATGTAAAACCTGCTTAAAAAGAACACACCTGCACCCTCTGACAGACAGCTTTACTAGGCTTCTGCCTTGGGGAAATTTGTACATAACCCTAGAGAAACGTAAAAAAAAAATGTTTTTGGAATCGCTTACTTTTAAAAACGATTGGAAATCATTTAACTGCTTATCAACAACAGAATAGAAAAATAAATGGTAGGATATTCTAACATGGATAATTAGACACTGGTAAAAATACTCTAGCTACCGTGCATCAGCAGATTAGTCTCAGAAGCATCTCTTTGAAAATGACGTGGAGTGATAAGAGTGTTTACCTTGTATACACAAGACCTTGGCTTCAACCCTCAATGGTGTAGGAGGGTCTTCTTTCTATGTGTTGCTTTCATTGGTCAAATAAAGAGACTGCCTTGGCCTTTTGATAGGGCAGCAGCTTAGTTAGGTGGAGTAGACAGAACAGAATGCTGAGAGAAAGGGGGCTGAGAAGGAGAGCCGCCATGAAGTCGCCAGGTCAGATATGCTGAATCTTTCCCAGTAAGCCAAGACCTTGTGGTGACATACAGATTATTAGAAATGAGTTGAATCAAGATGTGAGAGTTAGCCAATAAGAGGCGAGAACTAACAAGCCAGGCAGTGTTTAAAAGAATTCAGTTTCCATGAATTATTTTGGGTAAAGCTAGCCGGGAGCCGGACAGCGGGAAGTGGCCCGGTGCTCTTTTTTACAACAGAGTGGTACCCAATGTGGGCACATGAACCTATGACCCTGAGATTAAGAGTCTCATGCTCTACCAACTGAGCTAGCCGGGCAGCCAGGAGCCAGGCGGGACGAAAAACAGCCTGCCACTCCTTATACTACAGATTATATACTACACCTCAACACTGAATAACATTGTTTCCCAGAAAGGTAAAGTCAGTGGCACCAAGTGCTATAACCTAGAACCCCAGGTGGAAGCAAGAAGCTGTGCACTCCAAAGTCATCCTCAGCTACACACAAGTTCAAGACCAGCCTATATCTTAGGGGGCAGCTCAGAAACAAACAAGCAAAAAACTTGTATTGACAACCCAGGTGTGGTGGCACACAGGTGTGGTGGTGCCCACAAGTGGTGGCACCCCGGTGTGGTGGCACATGGCTCTGATGCCAGCACTCAGAAGGCTGAGGCAGCAAGATTGAAGGCCAAGGTCAGCATGGACTTCATAGTAAGATTCTGTCTCAAAACTCAAAAATGATATAGATAAAAGTCACAGAAGACTGTGATTATATTTATATAAAATTCAAAGAGGCAAAGTTAATGAACACACCAATGTGGCAAAACTTTAAAATAAATTAATCACCAGCTTAAACTCAGCAGCAGAATTGGCAGGGGGGAGGGGGCAGAAGGGCTTGTGGTCGGGAAACTCGGAGGTCGCAGCAATGTCCCATCTCCTCAGCTGGGTGCTGGACACACCAGCACCACTGTGGGCTGAAGCTGCCAACAGAGAACTCAGAACAGGGCTCAGAGGCACAGCAATCTAGCTTTTAGTTTAATTTCAGACCCTTCACCTTCTGGGCAACCCCACGCACAGGGGAAAGACTGCATAACACATGTTCATTTTTAAGATTTGGAGGGAAAGCCAGGCACAGCGATGCACGCCTGTGAAACCAGCACTTGGGAGGCTAAGGCAGGTGACTGCCACAAGTGCAGGAACAATCCTGTTTACATTGTGACTTCTAAGCCAGTCAGATGATGGTGATGAGACACTGTCTCCAAAAAGAAATTCAGCCGGGCAGAGTGGTACATGCCCTTAGTCCCAGTGCTTGGGAAGCAGAGGCAGACAGATCTCTGTGAGTTCAAGACCAGCTTGGTCTAGATAGTGAGTTCCAGGCCAGCCAAAACTACAGTGAGACCCTGCCTCGAAAACAAAAGCAAACAAAATGATTTGGAGAAAAACTTGAATGTACTAACATATGAAAAATTTACAGGTGTATGTCTTAAAATCCCGCAACTCACCTCCTTGGGAACCTAGGCGCCGGCTCCAAGTGCTATGCAGGTCTCTGGGAGGACAGGGGACGAGGAAGGCGCAGAGAAGGACCAGGACCATCGAGATCATCAGCGTCAGCAGAAAGACAGATGTACGCACATAGGACACCAGGGAAGAGGTGGCCTTCTGCTCCACACCCGCAAGGGGCTCCGAGGGATAACCCTCTGGGACAACTTCGGACAGGTGTGGCTTCGCAGCCCCAGCCACGTCTGCATCTGAGTCCCCTGCATCCGGCGGGTCCCCCAGGGCGCTCTTCCCGTTTTTGACCCCTCCGTTCTTCTGCTGCAAGTTAAGCACAAGATCATCGTCGCTCTCGTCGCTGTCCGCCTGGGTGAGGGGGTCGTACTCCCCGAGGTCTGGGCTCTTCTTCCCTGGAAAGACAGAAAGACCGAGTCAGGGAGAGCCTGGAAGGAAGGAACCTCACCTGTGGTGACATGGAAGCAAAGTCACAACCACAACCAAAAAACCCTAGCTTTATATCATTCCGACCTTAGTGACCTTCTGTACAATTAACTGTCAACTGTCAACACGGGAGCCCCCAAGGGGGTCAACTGCTCTAGAACTATTTTCTTTCAGGGCTAAGAAAATTGAAAAAGATGTGGCAGAAGCAGAATACACCAAGCTATTCCAGGCCTGGTTAGATACATGCTGTGTGTTTGCCCACGGAAAAACTAAGACAGTGACTTTGAGAGCACAAGGCCAGGCACAATGGCTCACACCTTTAATCTCAGTGCTTGTCGTGAAGCTAAAACAGGCAGGCTGCATGAGTCTGAGGCCAGCCTGGGCTACAAGGCAAGATCTGCCTCACGAGCTATCAATAAGGCTGGGGGAGGGGAGTGCTTCCTGCCAAGCCTGACGACCTGAGTTCAATCCCCAGGGCCCACACAACGGAAGGAAGAAATTTACATCCACGAGCTGCCATCTAACTATATACATAAAAAATTTTAAATGTAATAATAAAAAAGATCCTGTCTCCAAAAGACATAAAAGAAGCTGGGCTGTACTCGGTCTAAGGTAAAATGCTGATTTAGCATGCACAAAGCCTTGGGCTGGATCCCTAGCAAAAACCAGGCATGGAGGTGCATGCCTGCTATTCTAACACTTGGAAAGCAGTGCCAGGATTCAAAATTCAAGGTCATCCTCAGTTAGTTTCAGGCCAGTTTGTTAGACATAAGACTCTGGCTCATCAAAAGGGTGTGGACTGGAGATATGGTTCAGTGGTTAAGAGCACTGGCTACTCTTCAGAAGACCATGGTTCGATTCCTAGCGTCCATAAGGTGGCTCACTATGGACAACAACTCCAGTTTTAGGAATCTGCAGCCCTCTTCTGGCATCCGTGGGCACCAGGCACACATCTGGTACACAGACATACAAATAGGAAAAACACCCACACACATAAATATTTTTTAAGAGAAGCAAAGAACAAAACAGTGGTTACAAGGCTCAGTTGGATGGAAAGATAACGTTCAAAATTCTGTAACACAACTGATAACTATGGTTGTCCCTTGTGAGTCCCAGGGATTGAACTCAGGCCGTCAGGGCTGAAGGGCTTTCACTAGCAGAGGCATCTTGCCAGTCTAAGCATCTGTTCCTCTTATAAGCTTCTTAATTTGATCAATTATCATTAATAAAGATGGCTGTGGCTCTTTCTATTTTTAATTTTTGTATTCATTCATACACACATGTATTCACTCAGTCATTCGAGGCAGGGACTTACTATGTAGCCCAGGCTGTCCTTGAACCTGTGGTGAGCCTCCTACCTCAGCCTTGCCGGTGCTGGGATTACACGTGTACCAGCTAGAGGCTGTGGCTCTTAATCAAACTTTCCTCACACCTAAGGCTGGTTCCCGCTTTAGATTTTCTCGGAGCCATGATGCATGATTGTTCCTGGTAAACTTGTAGAACAATTCTCTTCTGTATGCTATCTCTCACGGGTGTCTGTGGTTTCCCGGTTGTTTCTATGGAAACAAGCTAGCAAGCTGAAGATGTTCTCAGAATTGTCCCGCGATTTGAATATTCTTTAAGAGGACCTTTGCGTAGAGGTGTAAAAACTACTATTCTGAGCATGCGTCCTGGCAGAGGCGGCAGACTTATGGAAGCTCGTCCACACGGGCTGTATCCTGCTTCTACTCAGTCTCTACACTGACTCTGAGAGATAAATTACGGGGCGGCTTGAGTGCATCCCCACACCGACTCCTGGCTCTCACAGCAGTGACCTCGTCAGGCTTGGCTGAGAAGAGACTTCCTCTCTGGAAACTGGCAAGCTGTGACCAATGAAAGTTAATGTTAAACCTTTAATTCTGAAGAATTAAAAAGGGAAAGACAATTCAGATTGTGCTGAGGAAGCAGCCCTGGCTCAGGTCTTTGTCTTGCTGACGCCCTTCTAGAAACCACATCTGTGTCCTAACACATGGAAGGACGCAGTAAGACAGAGGGGGGCCAGGTGCAGGGGGGACCTGGAGGATACAGTTTAGCATGTGTTTGATAAAGGCTGACTAAACACCATGCACAGGATAATTCTGCAGCATTTAGCAGTTTGCACAAACAGGGAAACACCAGGGAATGCGGCAATCCGTTAACTAGAAGCTACTCTTTATTTTTATTTGCAAAGTTATTAATGTTGAGCAGTGAATATCGGATTTGGTCTCTTGTTTGTTTTCAAGTTGGCTCTACCTTAAACTGTGCCCTGATTTCCTAAATGCTGAGGTTACGGTTGTCACCAGGCTTATCTTGCAGTTGGCTCTCTTTCTCTCTCTTTCCCTCTCACATTCTCTCTCTGTCTCTCTCATCTGTGTGTTACAAGTTTGTGCATACATGTATATCTGGATGCATTTGCCTGTGTGTGGCCATGTGGAGGCCAGGGGTCAAAGTCCAGGTATCTTCCTCCGTTGATTCTCACCCTACTTTCTTAGACACGTCTCTCTCTAAAACTGATCTGGTCATTTTGGGCTAAGATGGTTAGCCAGCAAGGCCCCCCAAATCCACCTATCTCAGACTCTAAGAACACCGGAGGCAGAAGCAAGAGGAGTGAGGATCAACCCATAACTGAGGCCAGCCTGAATTACGTATCGAGTTATCAGACTGCATGGTAAGCCTCTGTATTAAAAGACAAATAAAATTTTTAAGAATACTCCTGACAGGAACTGTTAAGACGGTTCAACAGTCAAGAGCACTGGCTGCTCTTTCAAGGTACCAGGGTTCTACTCCCAACACCCACAGGGTGAATCACAGCTGTCTTACTCCAGTCCCTGCAGGTCCCATATCCTCTCCTGACCTCCATGGCCATGCATGCATGTGTTGAACATACATACATACAGGTAAAACAGTCAAGTACATAAAGGTAAAAAATTTTTAAAACCAAAAAAAAGGCCAGGCGGTGGTGGCACAGGCCTTTAATCCCAGTACTCGGAAGACAGAGGCAGGAGGATCTCTGTGAGTCTGAAACCAAGCTGGTCTACAGAGCGAGTTCCAGGACTGGCTCCATAGCTACTGAGAAACCCATGTCTGGGGGGAGGGGGTAGAAAGAGTGGGGGCTGGAGAGACGACGGCTCATCAGTTAAGAGCACTGGGTTCAACTCCCAGCACCCACATGGTGGATCTTAGGCGTCTGAAACTCCAGATCTGGGGGATCCAATACCATCTTCGGGCCTCTGAGGGAGCCAGAAACACATGTGGTTCACAGACATCGTAGACAAAACAACCATACATATAAGATAAATACATAATTGAGGGAGGTTGTCGTTTTGTTGTTGGTTTGGTTTGGTTTATTTTTGTTTGTTTTTGAGACAGGGTTTCTCTGTGTAGTTCTAAAACTCACAGTAGATCACACTAGCCTTGAATTCAGAGATCTGCCTACCTCTGCCTTCTGAGCATTGGGAGTAAAGTGTGGGCCACTACCACCCAGTCTGATAAATAAACAAATTTAGGTTGAGTGAAATTTTAAAATCTATTTAATCCCCATTCCCTTTCACAGATCCAGCAAGCAGTCACTCAGCACACAGTTGAGTAGGACAGTGTGAGGAGCCCACTTATAAGGATTATGTAAGAAAATATACACTCGGCCTTTGTGTGTGGCTTATTGTCATACTCAATCAATTTAGGCTTCTATTATGATTGTCTAAATCCATCAACAGTCTTTGCCCAGGCTTCTCATCTCCAAGTTAAACTCCTCCATCTCCTTCAATCCATAATTTGAAGGAACAGTTTCGGATGATCCTTCTTTGCATACAATGTGACATGTTCACAGTTTTTTAAGTAGGGTTTCTGGAATTGACCACTATTCAAGGGTGTGGTCTGACCACAGACAGGACAGAACCAAACCATCATGTTCCAGATGGTTTAGTGATCCGGTAAATACTGGTAGCTCTTGGCAGCTTCATCACACACCAATCCTCCTAAAACTCCCAGGGATTCCGAACTGCACGCAGGTTACCCAATGGCCTTACCACTGGATTTTGAGCAATAAGTAAAAAATTTAGAAGCAGCATCGCCTCAATCAATCTTGTCCGTCTTTCCCTCCCAACGTTCCCAAAGAAGTGAAACTGTCAAAGTGAAACCACTAACAAAACACCAGCTAACAGAACAACTGAAGGCAGTTCACTTTTACCGGGACTTACGCCATAACGGGAAGGAAGGCCCTGGCAACATATGCTACAGAAATGCAGACAACTGTAGCAAATCTAGAGAAAATAATTAGTGGACTCTCTTATTAGTGGAAAATAATTAGTGGAACACACACTTCTAATTAATAATGTCACAGGAGACATTTCTGCCATAGTCCCTTCCTTAAAACCAGGAGAGGAGAAAGACAGAAGAAGAGGAAGAGAGAGGGAGGGGAAGGAGGAGGGAGAGGATGGGGAGCAGAGAGGAAGGAAAAAATAACACACTCCCAACACATGATGTATGAACAATTGCTGCCAAATTCATGAAACTCTATCCCCTCGAGGAAACAAGTAAAAGTAACAATGTGTCAATACCTGAACAAGGAGACAGAATCCGCAGAATTGACGGTGATGACCCTGTGATAGTTGAAGATGTCGCCAGGTGGTGGCACTTACCTTTAACCCCAGCACTTGGAAGGCAGAGGCAGGCGGATCTCTGTGGGTTCAAGGCCAGCCTGGTCGCCAAACTGAGTCCTAGGACAGCCAGGGCTACAAAAATAAACCTTGTCTCAAAAAAAAATTAATCTCTCCAAGAAACAAGCTGTATAGCAACTAACTGCAGGCGTCATCAAATCCTGAAGAGACTGGCTGCTGTGACAGACAGAGGCCAGCTGTGCTGTGGGACAATCTTTCTGTACACTGTAAAGATGCATCTCTGCCAAGGCACCTTCGAGCGAGGCAGGAGAGGACAGGTGGGACTTCTGGGTAGA